GGGGAGAGAGAAACATCAGTGTGAGAAGAGACATATTGATTGTCCTGCTCTAACCACTGGGCTAAACTGGCCAGGCATTTGATAGTAACTGCATTGAATCTATGGATTGCTTTAGGTAGTATGTACATTTGTAGTATGGACATTTTATTGTTAAATTCTTCCTATCCATGAGCACGGTATATACTTTTGTTTAATTGTTGTCTTTTATTTCCTATTTATTTATTGTATCCTTACCCAAGGATATTTTTTCTATTGATTTTTAGAGAGAGTGGACGGGAAGGAGGAGGGGAGAGAGAAACATCAGTGTGAGAGAGACATATGGATTGGTTGCCTCCTGTATATGCCCAGGATCCAGCTGCAACTGAGGTACATGACCTTGACCGGAATCAAACCTGGGACCCTTCAGTCCGCAGGCTGATGCTCTGTCCATTGAGCCAAACCGGCCAGGGCTGTAATGTCTTTATCTTGTTTTGTAATCAGGTTAATGCTGGCCTCTTAAGGTGAGCTCGGGAGCTTCCCTCCTCTTCAGTTTTCTGGAATAGTTTGAGAAGGGTAGGTGTTCGTTTTTCTTTGAATGTTTGGTAAAATTTCTAAAGCCATCTGGTCCAGGACATTTGTGGGGAGTTTCCTTTTATTACTGATTTGATTTTGTCAGTAATAGTTATCAGTCTGTTTACATTTTCTGTTCTTGTTTGTAGTATTTACTTATAATCCTTTTCATTTCTGTGATGTCAATCTTCATGTCTCCTCTGTCATTTCTGATTTTATTCATTTGGATCTCCTCTCTTTTTTTCCTGGATGAGTCTGGTAAAGGTTTATCAATTTTGTTTATCTTTTCTAAGAACTAGCTCTTGGTTTCTTTGATCTTTTGTATTTTTTTAGGCTATTCCATTTATTTCTACTCTGATCTTTATTATTTCCTTCCTTCCACTCACTTTGGGCCTTGTTTCTTTTTTTTTTTAGGTTCTTTTTTTTCTTTTTCTTTTTTTAATATATTTTTTATTGATTAAGATATTACATATGTGTCCTTGTCCCCACGTTACCCTCTACCCCCCCCACCCTTTTTTTAGGTTCTTTAGGTGCATGGTTAGATTGTTTATTTGAGATTTTTCTTTTTTCTTGAAGTAGGCTATGGATTTTCCTTTTAGAATTGCCTTGGCGGTGTCCCATAAGTGTAGGTTGTCATATTTTCATTTGTCTCAAGGTATCTTTTGATGTCCTCCTTGATGTTGTTAACCTATTCATTGTTTAGCATTTTGTTATTTAGCCTCTATGTGTTTGTGTGTTTTTCAGTTTTCTTGTAATTGATTTCTAGTTTCATACAATTGTGATTGGAGAAGGTGCTTGATATAATTTTAGTAGTCTTATATTTATTGAGACATGTTTTGTGGCCTAATATATGGTCTATTGTGGAAAATGTTTCAGGTGCACTTAAATGTATATTCTGCTACTTTTGGGTGAAATGTCCTAAAAATATCAATTAAGTCCATTTTGCCTAATGTGTAATTTAAGGCCACTGTTTCCCTGTTGATTTTCTGTCTGAATGATCTATCCATGATGTCATTGGGTCTTAAAGTCCCCTCATGTGACTGTGTTACTGTTGGTCTCTCCCTTTGTATCTGTCAGTATTTTATATATTTGGGTGCTTCCCGTTGGGTGCATATATGTTTATGAGAGTTATGTCCTCTTGTTGTTTTGATCCCTTTATCATTGTGAAATACCTTTTGTCTCTTGTTACAGTCCTTGTTTTAAAGTCAGTTTTGTCTGATATATGTATTGCTGCCATAGCTTTTTTTATTTTTCATTTGTATGAAACATCTTTTTCCTTCTGCTGTGTCTTTTGATCTGAAGTGGTTCTCTTACAGGTAGCGTGTTTGGGTCTTGGTTTTTATTTTTATCTGTTCAGCCACCCTATGTCTTTTGATTGTAGCATTTAGTCCATTACATTTAAAATAAATATTGATAGGTACATTTAAAATAATTATTGATTGTTTTCCAATTGTGTCATTCTTCTCTGTTCTTTTCATATTCTCTTACTCTCTCTTATATGTTGACTGGTAGCCCAGTGCACGAAATTTGTGCGGGGTAGGGGGGAGTGGGCCCCTCAGTCTGGCCTGCACACTCTCCGATCTGGGACCCCTCGGGAAATGTTCGACTGCCTGCTTGTGCCCACACTTTTTTTTTTTTTTAAGAACCAGTTTTGCCTCTGACTTTTTATTGATTTTTTTTTTTAACAGAAAGGAAGGGAGAGGGATAGAGAGTTAGAACGATGAGAGAGAAACATCGATTCAGCTGCCTCCTGCACACCCCCTACTGGGGATGTACCCACAGCCAAGGTACATGCCCGGGGCCGGAATTGAACCTGGGACCCTTTAGTCCGCAGGCCAACGCTCTCTCTACTGAGCCAAACCGGTTAGGGTGCGCCCACACTTTTAACAGATGACAGCTCCATTGTTGTTTCTTTCCTTTCATGCTTAAACCCATTGGAATTAGTAGGTATTCAAAGTGTGTATACACCCTGTATATCTCTAGTCAGTAGTGAAAGGAACCAACAGTGGGTTTGTAACCCCCAGACAGGGAACCTCGCTCACTCCCCGCATGTCTCCCCACTCCACTTTCCACTTTCGCAGGCAGTCCTGTCACCCGTTGCCCAGCAGGAGTGCGCTAGGCCCCACGTGAGCGAGGGTCAATCAGGGCGGCCTTCGCTCATGGGCGCCGGCACCCCAAGTGCACATTCCTCCTCTGCAGTCGCCCCGACTATCCCACTGTTTCACTGAGAGGACGGAACTCCTCGCCGCCTCTGGGTTCCTGATCTTGAACGCTGACCAAAGGCACCTCAGTGAGGGCTGCTCACACCCACTAGGTGTGTCTGTCTACACCTGCTCCCGCCTCAGCACCTGCATTAGCACTGGCCTCTGCAGGAACAGGGCATCACCACTGCGCCCTCTCACTGTCATCTCACAGGCACCCACCTTCAGCACCCAGAACACCCAGACACTCTCCAAAGGATGTGAACGTGTTGGAGAGGACCTGCACACGTCCTGTGGGGCACGTGGTCATGCTGGGGTTGATGGAAGTGCGGCGGAGGGGTGGGGGGAACTTGCACGTACCTTGGTCCAGGACTGTTGCAGGCATGCAAGGGTGACAGTGTGTTGGGGGACGTTCGCACGCCAGGGCAGGAGGAGAGGATGTGTGCACCGGAAGCCTATGACTTCGCAGATCTGCAAACCCCCGTGGTGCGGCCAGGAGGATGTCAGTCTGGCCCACCACGGTGGCTGTCCCTGTGATTGCGCACTTTCTGGGCCAGGAGGCAGGACTTGCGCAGCCACTCCTCAGCACTGATGGCCTGCAGGTGCTACTTCAGGTTGTCCTGCAGGCCCCGCTTGGTGCACTCACGGCTGCCACCACCACCATATGGGGAGTACAGGCCGCCCTCCGCCAGCCCGCCTCCCCTGCACAGAGGCTCTCTGGGAGTGCTGCCCAGAGGCCCAGAGAGGCCTGGGTGGGGCGGGACGCCGGCACGCGCTGCTCACCAGCCCGGAGTGGCCGGTGCAGGGTGGGGTGAGACGCCTGCCCACAGCTGCTTGGTGCCTGTGCACGTGCGCACTGCCCACAGGCCCACCATCTTCGTCGGGTTAATTTGCATACTCGCTCCTGATTGGCTGGTGAGCATAGTGGAGGGGCGGCCAATTTACATGTTTCTCTTCTATTATATAGGATGACTTTCTGTAGATTTGTGTTTGGATTCCTTTCTCTTTATTTCTTGTATATCTCTTACAGATTTTTGGCTTGAGGTTATGTCATGCTTCATATATGCCAAGCTATGTTTATAGCAGCCTATTTTAAGTTGACAGTCCCTTAGGTTCACACACATTCTAAAATCACTACAATTTTTACACTCCCTTTCTTTGTTTATGCTTTGGTCATTATTTTTTAGCTTCTATTGTGTGTTTCTCTTAATTTATTGTAATTACACATGACTGTACTACTTTTGTCTTTTAATCTTTGTACTAGGTTTATAGTTGGTTGGACCACTGATTTTACTGTGTTTGCCTTTGTCAGTGGGCATTTTTCTATATTTTCTTACTTGTATTTTTTATCTTTTCTACTTAACGAAGTTCCTTTAACATTTCTTGTGATACTGGTTTAATGGTGATGAACTTCAGTTTTTTCTTATCAGGGAAGCTCTTTATCTGTCTTTTGATTCTAGCCTTGCTGGGTAGAGTAATCTTGGTAGTAGGTCTTTGCTTTTCATCACTTTGAATATTTCATGCCAATCCCTTCTGGCCTGAGATGTTTCTGTTTAGAAATCAGCTGACAGTCTTATGGGAGTTCCTTTAACTGCTTTTCTCTTTCCTCTTTTAAGATTCTCTCCTTGTTTTTAACCTTTGGCATTTTAATTATGATGTATCCTGGTGTGGACTCATCCTGTTTGAGTCTCTGTGCTTCCTGGGCTTGTATGTTTGTATGTTTACTTTGCCAGGTTAGGGGAGTTTTCTGTCATTATTTGTTCAAATAGAAGTTTTCAATCCCTTTCTCTTTTTCTAAGAGCTGTATGATGTGAATTTTGTTTCTCTTGTTGTGGTTCCCTTAAACTATCCTCATTTTTTTTAAAAAAAATTCTTTTTTCTTTTTGCTGTTTTAATTGGTATTTTCTACTACTTTGTCTTCCAAAGGTATTTGATTTGATTCTCTGCTTCATCTAATCTGTTGGTTCCTGCTAGTGCAGTGATTCTCAACCTTCTGGCCCTTTAAATACAGTTCCTCGTGTTGTGACCCAACCATAAAATTATTTTCGTTGCTACTTCATAACTGTAATGTTGCTACTGTTATGAATCGTAATGTAAATATGATATGCAGGATGGTCTTAGGCGACCCCTGTGAAAGGGTCGTTCGACCGCCAAAGGGGTCGCGACCCACAGGTTGAGAACCGCTGTGCTAGTGTATTCTTTATTTCTAATACTGTACTCTTCAATTTTGACTGTTTTTTGTTTTTGTTTTTATGTAGGAGACATATACTACTACTTAACCTTTACGGTAAGGTTGGCATTCCTGAGAACTTTATTAATGTAGCATGTTATGGATGTTTTCCTGCTCCCAAGGAACGAGGAGCAGACATATTTCCACATGAAATGTGACTTTTAAAAAATATTTCCTAGCTCTTTGTGTAAGTTCTCACTGAGTTCACCTACTCTTTCCCGAAGTTCATTGAGCTTCCGTTCACCCAGGGTTTTGAACTCTGCCTCCAGTATATTGCTTGTCTCCATTTTCTTAATTTTTTCCTGGACTTCTTTCATTTTGGACATGTTTCTTTGTCGCCTTATTTTGCCTGCCTCTCTGTGTTTGTGTTTCTTTCTGTGACCTCCCCCAGGCTTGGTAGAGTGGCTTATGCAGTAGGTGTCCTGTGGGGCCGGTGGTGCAGCCTTCCTGCTCGCCGACATGGCGTTTCAGGAGTCCCTTGTGTAGGGTGTGTGTGTGCCCTCCTCGATTGCTGCTGGCCTGTCCGGGGGTAGGATTGGCCCTCAGGCTGACTGGCTCTGAGGGCTGGCTGTGACTTGAGGGAGTGAGCTGTTTTTCAGGGGTGGACCCCACAGAACGGGGTTTGCTTTAGCGGGGCTCTGGTGTGTGCTGCGTTCACCCTTCGGGCGTGCTGTTTGTGGGGCTAGTTATGTAGTGCTCTGCAGGTGGCCACTGGGTTTGTTGGTTCTGGGGCTCTTAGGAGGGCGGTGGTATCGGCCAAGGTAGGCACCATTTGTGACGGCTCGTTCCCTTAGGAGAAGCTTCAAAGTGATCTGCATTTGGTCACCACTGGTGCTGGGTTTGGCGCACTTGGGAGAGGCAATGCCGAGAGCCCAGACTGGCTGCCATGTGTGCTGCTCCTGTGGCCCTTTAGTTGAAGCTACCTTCCAAGTCAGTTACTGGTTACTGGCTGTAGCGTATGCCAGGTTTGGGCCACCTGATGGGAGTTACAATGCAAGTTGGGACCACTGACTGCTTGTGCCGGGCATGAGGTACTTGGTAAGAGGTACAGGGCACTCCAAGGCCAGCCGCTGCTTGTTTGAGGTTTGTGGGCCTTTGAGAAAACAGGAAAGTCCTCAGCGTGAGCGAAGGCAGGCTGCTTATGTGGAGGAGCCGCTGACCGAGGCTCTGGCTGGGTGAGTGTGTTGGGTGGGACACCTCCATGGGGTGAAAGGTGTTAGCCAGGTTAATGGAGAGCTCAGATTTAGCACCCCCTGCGTCACAGTGGCACCTACCAGCACTTCCGCCCCAGCTCTGCCCCTCAGGCCGTGTCCTGACGCTAGTCAGCTCAGGTCCCTCTGTGTTCCTGGCACGTTCCGAGCTGCTACCCAGTGCTGAAGCCCACAGCGCGTGTTTCTGGGTGAGTCTGTGCTCGGCACTTCAAAGCAGCCCCCAGTCTCACCTGCACGGGTCCCTGCTGAGTTTCATAACCAGCTGTTTTGGTGGCTCCTCGCCCTGGCGCTGGCGCTGTGGCTGGGGGCCTGGTGTGAGGTGGGGGACTTGCACACAGGAGCTGTCGCCACATGTGGGCGCGGGGCGAGTCTGTTTTGGTCCCCGCCCCTCCTGCCAGTCTCTGCATCATTTCTTTTGTATATCCTTACCCTTAGTTATGGGGGTTCTGCTCAGCTAGCTCTCAGGTGGCTCTCAAACGTGGTTGTCCTGTAGTTTAGTTGTAATTGTAATGTGGCCATGGCGAGCATTGCTGCTTCTTGCTTCGCCATCTTGACCAGAATTCTCTGAATCGTCCCAGTTAGTTCCCTCCCGAGTGCTGTGATCATGGCTGTGGCTCAGCCAGCCTCCGTTCTGGCAAGTTCTTACTGTGAGTGGTCATCCTTTCCCCCAGGTGCAACTCCCACCCGTCGGCACCCATGGTTTGGTGGTTTCTCTCTTTTGGGTGCCGATGGATGGATTATATATTGGCTGTAATTATTGACTCCAGGAAACACGTAGAAAGAAGATCAACACCTGTTTGTCTCTTGGGCTCCTCCCCCCCAGAGCAGCACCTGTTACGGAATGGGCACAGTGGAGTGTCGGCTGGACGCTGACTGACAGGCCAGGCCTTCTGCTCTCCCTTGCAGATTGAGTCTGCGGTCCTCACGGCTGGCTCCCCCCTAGTATGGCCAATGAAGAGGATGACCCAGTCGTACAGGAGGTAAGTGCTGTGCCCAGGCTGCAGGCAGGGGGCTGGGTTTCTTCTGCCCATCCTCCAGCCAGACTGGGACCTCTTTCCCCAGGTGCCGGGCTGGCTGGCTCCCTCCCTCCCTCCAGGTCTCTGCTGGCATCTCCGCGCCAGAGTGGCTTTCCTGGCCACCCTGTGGTTGTGTGGCCTTCTGCACACTGCCCCTCGACCCTAGCCCTCTAGCCCCTTACCTCGGCCTTGCCTTGCGCTTGGCCACAGCACTTAGCCCTAGACTTAAGTCTCCTTCTGCTAGAATGGAAGCTTGGAGAAAGTAGAGTTTTATGAGTTTTTAAAAAAACATTTTTATTGAGAGAAATATTTTTATTAAATATAGAGAGGAAGGGAGAGGGAGAGAGATAGAAACATAAATGATGAGAGTCACTGACTGGAGATCGAGCCCGTGTCCCAGGCATGTGCCCTGACTGGAAATCGAACCATGAACTCCTGGTTCATAGGTCAGTGCTCAACCACTGAGCCACGCCGGCCGGGCGAAAGCGAAAACAGAGTTTATTCTGTTCACCGTGTCCCCAAAGCCAGGTTCAGGTCCTTGGACGTAATAGTCAGTGGCATTATTTGTTGAACGAAGGAATGGGTCTGCCATCTCCCCTTCACTTCACTGGGGCTGTGAGGACAGTGAGCCTCAGGCAGGAGGGAGTGTCGGTGCCGATGAGGACACACCCTAGAACTCTGGGCTTTTGCACATGCTGTTCCTCCACCAAGAAGGCCCTGCACCACGCCTCCCCTGCGCCTGGGCCCTTCACCAGTCCTCGAGGCCTGGAGCCGGGAGAGTAGGTGCATGGTTCCTGTGAGGAGCTGGGAGCAGGCAGGGCATGGTGGGGCAGGGAGGTTAGTGTTAAGAAGAAAGTTGGGCCAGGCAGTCTCCCAAGGGGCTTGCAGGCCCCTCGGTGTGGCCAGGGCACTAGGCGGATCCAGGCTGGGTGGTGGAAGGCACCCTCCCTGCTGCATCTGCATCAGAAAAGCATTGGCCCTCCTGTAGGACGCCCTCCTCTGGGCAGCCCCAGGGAAGACAGTTTATTCCATTACAGTGAACCTGGGTAGGGCCCTGGGAGCCTGAGGGAGGGGCCCTGGCTGTGTCCAGATTGGAGACCTGGTTCGCTTTGGTGTTAGCAATGGCTGAGCTCTCCCTCCAGACCCAGGCTGCCTTGGGGCCACTGCCCCTCACACCAGCGGGCAGGGCAGCCCTGGGCCTGTCTCCTGGCTAAATCTTCCCTTGTCCCCAGGTCGACGTGTACTTGGCCAGAAGCCTGGCGGAGAAGCTCTATCTGTTTCAGGTAATTGTGGGGCCTGGCGGTAAAGAAGGAAAGCAGGTCCTGGTCGGGGGTGGACGTGCGGTGGGGGGTGGGGCCAAGAACCCCGTCGGCCTCCGAGTGTGACAGGACAGCTCTCAGCGTTCTCGTGGGTGGGTTACATAGTCTCTCATTTCCAAGGTGAGAGAGCAAGACAGCCAAGAGGCAGAGCCGTGGTCTGGCTAAAGCTCCGTTTCCACGTAGCTGCCAGCCCTTGGGCAAGTTCCTTAATCGCCGTGACTCAGTTTCCCTATTTGCAAAATGGTGATAGTGTTAATTCCCGACTTGGAGGGTCCCCATGGGGATTGGAATGCCACCTGGTGCAGAGCTGGCACTAGGTTGACGCCACCGATATTGCTGGGCCTCAGGGGCCCTTCAGCAGCTCAGGCCTGCCTGCCGGAGCCCCTCCCCGGACATCGTGGCTCACAGTATTGAGCACGGACTATGCGCTGACCTCACTTCAAGACTTGATCTCATTTTATCCCACAATAACCCTGTGTGCTTATTGTTACTGTAATTTTGTAACAGCTTTATTAAGATCTAATCTACACAGCATATGATCCCCCCATTTAAGTGGATAAAGCAATGGATTTTAGTCTGTTCATAGGACTGTGAACCAGCACCACAGTTTATTTTAGGACGTTTGCCCCCCTCCCCATTCCCACCTGCAGGCCTAGGGAACCATCACCCTATTTTATATATATATGTATATGTATGTGTATATACATATATATTTCATTGATTTCAGAGAGGAAGGGAGAGAGAGAGAAAGAAACATTAATAATGAGAATCATTGATTTGCTTTCTCCTGCACACCCCCTACTGGGGATCAAACCCACAACCCAGGCATGTGCCCTGACTGGGAATTGTGTGACCTCCTGGTTCATAGGTTGATGCTCAACCACTGAGCCAGACCAGCTGGGCTAACCTATTTTCTTTCTCTATGAGTTTGCCTGTCCTGGAATCACACAATATGTGGCCTTTTTCGTGTCTGGCTGTCATGATTTGGCATGATGTTTTTGAGATTCACCGGCATATCAGCGCCTCATTCCTTTTTATGGAGGAATAGCCCCACAGTGTGGGTGTGTACGCAGCACGTTTTGTTTATCCGGGCATCAGTTGGTGCTGTATTGGCTCACGTGTAATGAACGCTGCAGTGCCCTTCCTGTGCAGGTGCCTGAGTGGATGTGTGTTTTCATTGCTCTGGGCTGTATCCCTAGGAGTGGGTTTGCTGGGTCACAAGGAAGCTCATCGTTTTGAGGAACTGCCAGACTGTTTTGTACCATTTTCATTCCTGACCATCTGGTTCTTACTTAAAGTATTTTTTCCCCATGTTGCATACAATAAAACGAGGCACAGGGAGGCTATAACTTGTGCACGGGGCCGGCCTGGAGTGGGGCCTGGGACAGGGCAGCAGCAGCGGCACTGCAAGCATGTGCCAGGGTAAGGGCTGGCATCTGCACCCCCAGGCTCTGCTTTTGGCAGCTTTGGGGCTGGGCCCTCCCTTCAGAACCTCGTCCTTCCGGGCCGTTGCTGGGCGCCTTACTGCTGCCAGAGCGGCTTCTAGGAAGCATCATTTCCTCGGCTAGATGCCATCCTGACGCGGCCCCGCAGGAGCGCTCACCTCA